ATAGGACTACAAGTATGCGTACTAGAGCCCCACAATAAACGAACGTGACTGTACAATTAATGCCATATTTATATTTTAACATTTAGTAACACTTACCGCACGATATGTACTTCTCGCTGTGTTTTGATAACGTATGTGTCCTTCAACGCATGTATCCATTTATTCCATCTGTGATCTTGCACGAACACTGAACGTTATGTCTACGTAATCCTCGCTACCTCTTGATTGAATCCACGCACAAAATAAAGATGAAATTCTATATGCGATCTCACAGTAACACGTTGTAACACACGGCACTTAAACCTCGCCATTTCTTCCAAGAAAACCTCTCCTCGCGAGAACCGGAAGCGATTGTCTCAAGAAATAAAGCCGCGTCACGGACGCACTGTACAAGTGTACCTATTACGTCTACGTCTACGTCTGTCGTCAGGGTCTGTGTCAGCATTATTACCGCACATGGCTTCGGCGCATGAGAGTTAACTCACTCAAAGGTTTCTCATCGTGCAGGTCGCAATTAAGTGAGTTTAGACTCTAACGAAACATTGTAAATAATTAAAAGGAGAATACTTAATTACCACCACACCCATCCCACGTCACCCTGCTATGCCAGAAGTGTTGTGGACATTTTTACGACGTTCTGTGAAAGCTACTAACAACAGCATTTAATACAGAAGTAATGAAATTTTATATAATATGGAATTTTCTCGTAGATATACTGTGAAATTCAATGTACATGGCAATACGGCATATATCAAAATATTGGACATGCTATTATCCCACCTATACCCAAACTCGGTGAATAAACAATATCTTATTGTATATCTTTAGTGTATATTCAATGTTTGTGAAATTGTCAAGCGCATCGAAAGAAATATATAATATCGCATAATATACATTGTTTACGATATTGTTATATTGTATAAATACACCGGTGTACAGAGCAAATGCATGCACGCATACGGACACGCGCCTGCATGACTTATCGCGGGCGCGCGTGTGCGTGCGTGCGTGCGTGCGTGCGTGCGTCTGTAATTCTTTTATTTCTTCCATCAGTAATATCTTCCGATGAACTCACTGCTCGGAAATATTCTATCATAGCGTAAAAGCAAATATCTGAGTAACACCGCCTTCCTAATATCGCATATAGGACTCGGTATCTGCGTATTCAATTTATAACGGCAGATAGCGCCGTGTGCATTTAGATATTAAACATGGAGTGGTACATGGAGTGTTAGTTACTACTATCTCTAACTAATGATGATACAAATGGAAAACAATCGGTGTGATTGTGATATTGTTTTTGTATAATATATTTGCAGCTTGGATTTCACATTTTACTAGCCCTTTTCGTGTTTTCTCGAATTTTCCGATTCTCGTCTGTAGTTATTACGTGAAACCAAATGTGTACAGTAAGGTCAACATGTATCATGGACCACTCACACAGTATGCATAGCTAGCACGTGATTCCCTCTCTCACGATATTAAGCTTGTTCTGCTAGCATCTATGACAAATACGACATACGCATATACGCTCTCCTATGACACTATTTGTCACACCCCTACCGCGCTCGCCTGCACTGTGTGTACTGATGCATTGTATATAGCTGTTAACCCCCGCGCATACGCTCCTGTCTTAGATATAATCTCTGTGAATATTGAGTTTATATATATATATATATATATATCAGGAGTAAATAATCACAAACGTGAGATAGAGGAGGAGAGGAGAGAGGAGAGAGAGAAAAAGAGAGAGAGAGAGAGGAGAGAAGAGAAAGAGG